ATTAATCTGATCAGTCAGTATAATCTGGTTAATCTGATCAGACTGATTAATCTGATCAGTCAGTATAATCTGGTTAATCTGATCAGACTGATTAATCTGATCAGTCAATATAATCTGGTTAATCTGATCAGTCAGTATAATCTGATTAATCTGATCAGTCAGTATAATCTGGTTAATCTGATCAGTCAGTATAATCTGATTAATCTGATCAGTCAGTATAATCTGGTTAATCTGTGGTCCTGACCCATCAGCTCGTTGTTAATCTGCATCAGATCTGGACCCGTGGATCAGAGACTTGTTGTTAATCTGAACTCTGTCCTGAAGCTGTGTTTCTGAGGAGGGATGAGTTTTATCATTGGCTCCTCCCACAGGAAGTCAAACTGATGATGATGATGATGATGATGATGATGATGAGAACCAGGATGCTGGAAAACAAGGGAACAACCTTTACTGGACTCAAATGTTCATGTTGTTGTTTTTTTACACTGAATGTAAAGTTTGTTGTTTCCTGTTTGTGTGTTTGTGTAAAGTTTTACTTTGTAAAGTTTTACTTTGTAAAGTTTTACTTTGTAAAGTTTTTACTTTGTAAAGTTTTTACTTTGTAAAGTCTCTGAGCTGATGAGGAATAAACAGATGGATGTTTGTTTGGTTGTGATGTCATCATGTGATCAGCAGGGGGCGACAGAGACCAGCTGCTGCTGAGGAGGAGGACTCACCCTGCAGGTCAGACTGTGTAAATCAGGTCAGACCAGGTGGACCAGTCCTCTGTAGACCATCCAAACTGGGTCCAACAGAACCGAAACACAGCAGCTGATATGCAACAGAACATGTTAAAAACAAAGAGTCAAAGTGCTGCAACCAGAACCAGAACCAGAACCAGAACCCGACCTGTAGAACTGAACTGGACTTTCAGAACCAGACCTGTAGAACTGAACCTTCAGAGCCAGAACATCTTGTGTGAAGCGCAGCTGGAACCCTGAAGATGAAAGTGGTTCTGACCCGTGTGCAGCCAGTGGACCTTCATTACAAAGCGAGGCCTCTAATTGGACGACAGAGTACAGTCTGACCTTCAGGGTGAATCTGTCACTAACAGCTTCTGGATCAGAACCAGAACTTCTTTCTGTCTGGTCCTCAGCAGCAGCCCTGCCCCCCCTCGTTACCATGACAGCAGGAAGCAGAGCTGCGAGACAGGAAGATCCTGGACCCGACCCGGCCCGAGCTGTGTTTCTTCTCAGAACCAGAAGGTTTATTGTTTGACACTTTATGAAAGCTGCAGGTCTGAAAACAAAGACTTTCAGTCCAAAACAAACAGGTACCAGAACCTGGATCAGAACCAGAACCAGGACCAGAACCTGACAGGCGCTGGATGTTTGGGGAATGAGTCGTGGAAAGAAAAGCCGGTCCAGGTCTTTTCCACGTTCCTGAGTCCAAAACCACGTCACCCTGGACTAAAAACAGACCACCTGACACCCTCCACTCCCACAGAACCAAGTCCTGGTCCACCGGGCCAAGTCCTGGTCCACCGGGCCAAGGTTCCTCCAGCAGAGGAGCCAGACGTGTTTAAAAGTTTCCTGGACTAAAACTGATCTGAAGAAATCTGATCGTTTCAGTCAGACTGGAGACGGGTCCTGGTGGGTCCTGGTGAGTCCTGGTGGATCCTAATGGGTCCTGGTGGGACCTGGTGGGTCCTGGTGGATCCTGTTGGGTCCTGATGGGTCCTTTTGGGTCCTGTTGAGTCCTGAAGGGTCCTGTTGAGTCCTGACAGGTCCTGATGGGTCCTGTTGAGTCCTGTTGGGTCCTGGTGTGT